TAGGGTTTCCAGGCTTAATAGTCCTTATTGTATAACCCCCTTAGCTTCTTTACTGTGTAACCCCTGGGTTTCCAGGCTTAACTAGTGATTACAGTGTATTCCCCCTTGCATCTCTATGCTTAATTGATTTAACACTTCCTCTGCCTCCAACACCTCCTTCCCTGTGCTGCAGGGGAAGGGCCCATACCTTCTGGGTGTACTCCTATTTAGGTGGCAATGCCACCAGCTACTGACCCTTCTTTCCTGCCAGACGCCCTGCTGGAGTAGGAATTGTAATTCTAGCCTCACCATCCGTTGTAAAGATGGGACTCCTCCAAATTCTTGTGCTATTTTCATTCCCTCAAAAAAAGTTGCTATCCAATACATATGTCGATTAGATTGTCTGAAATACTGTCATTCCTGTCTGTTTCTGCTGTCCTCTGGGTCCTGTGGAGCCATGCATAACGGATGCCTGAGTAGTGTTAGGTCCATGCCAATAGGAGCCAGGCCAAGGGACTGGAGAGTTGAAGAAACTGTATTATATTCTCTCACAGTGTGCTGAGACCGGTGTGCTGGTGTCAGCACCGAGGGAATGTTTTTCTCCTATAGGGACTGGGTCAGGGTTGCACCAGCCACTTGGGGAGCTGCTGAACAACAGAACGTTCTTGGAAGATAGCACACAACTCGGGCAGAGGGGACCGCCTGAGCTGGCTGGGGAGGTATCTTTTTTTAATTTATTTTTTATTGATTTTTTACAGAGAGGAAGGGAGAGAGATAGAGAGTTAGAAAAATCAATGAGAGAGAAACATCCATCAGCTGCCTCCTGCACACCCCCAACTGGGGGTGTGCCCGCAACCTAGGTACATGCCCTTGACTAGAATTGATCCTGGGATCTTTCAGTCCACAGGCCTATGCTCTATCCACTGAACCAAACCCGTTTTTGGCATGGGGAGGTATCTTATCTGCTGCAGGGGCAGGCCATTTCCTTCAAGCTCTGGAAAAAAGCTTACAACAATATATTTCAGAAAATGTGTCCAAACAGGAAAGGCCAAGGATAGTATCAACTAATATTCCTCCCTCTTTTAGTGATACTCATGTTAATAATGGACTCAGAACTGGGGAGCATGGGCAAAAGTCTTATCTTCTATAATGACTTCCATGCTGTTAAGGGGCGTCAACCCTGACTGAGAGTCTGAAAGGCTGAATGAGAGTCACCTAGAGAGCAGGGTTTGTAGTGGATAGTCCTCAAGGCCAGCGCAGTCGCAGGAGTGTGGCTATGCTGTAAGGAGTGGAGGACATTTATATTAATGTGTAGTTATTACATTATTTATCTGTAATAAGTTCTTGTTTCTTGAAAAGGAGCTTGATGGCCTCAATGAGCTCCCATGAGTAGGTCACAGGATGAAGTTCCTGTGGGCACTTTAAAAAAAAAAAAAGGTTTAATTCAAGGTAAACAAGTAAGTATGTATTTAATGATATCATAGGAATCTTATGTGAAAATAGAAAGAAGAACTCAAAGGTTAACCAATATAGTAAATTATAAACAAGTTGAGAAGATTTATAAATGCAAAGCTTTTGCTGGAAAAAAAAGCAGATGGTGGTAATTTGATAAATTGTCTGTATTTAGAACATTTCTGGTGATGTTACCAGTTTTTGAGGTCTGTATAGTATATAAACACAGTCCTAAAACAAAAATCTGAAGGCAGTTAATTGTATTAGAGTTTAATACCTATAATTGGGCATTGTGATTTTTTTACTGAAACAGAATTTATTTCCCTAAACTCATCCTTATTTTTATTAAAGAAACTGTATTAGGTTTTAATGTGGCCTGATTATTGTATAAACACAATAAGAATAGTAACTGGTAACATAGCTTTTTAGATTAACTTTGCTGAAATTTCACTTATAAGGAATATTCAGTTTGAGCTTCAGTCAACCCTTCAGGGCACAGAAGCCAAGCCACACAGTTGCCATCTGGGGTTGCCTTCAAGGGTCTGTGTAGGTTTCTCAAGTAATTGGAACCTAGTTTTATAAGAGAATAGATTCTTTTTGGATTTATGAAAACAAACACATTGCCATGAGAACAATAATGCTCATTGAGAGTTGTCAAATTCTCTAGAGAGGTAGAAAAAGGTAGGGAGAAAAATATAAATGTCATAAAATATAAATTATTTATGAAAATATATTTTATCAAATTGTTCTAGGGAAATAAAAAGAAGCTTTCTTATATCTGAAAAGAAAATTACAAACTTAAAATGACATGCTTATAAACTTGACCATAAAACAGTTGACAAAAAAGCCTCGCTCTTCCATGAGATATAATAATACTCTAGGCTACTCCAGTGTCAGGACAGGATACCCGTTACTCTTGAGAATCTCTGTTTGAGCTCAGCTCTGAATCTTTGCAAATTTCTTCCTAGAATAGACTGAAATTTCCAGAACATTTATTTTAATATTAATATATATGTAATTAAACATAAAAATTATTAATTTTTATTTGGTAAAGCTTCCTGTGTAATGTTTCAAACAAAATAGGCCTAATTAGTTTGAAAACTTAGGAGAGAAAATAAATCCTTGAGGTATTTCAGGACCCGGTGTAATAACTCGAAGTTGTTTCTCTACTTAAAAAAAGTGTTTTGAAATGTAAACTTTGGGAAGGTTGTTGAATATACTTAACCAAAAGATTATATTAGAAATATTTTGTAAATCTAGGTAAAACAAACAGTTTTATGGTAATAATTTTAAAATATATTAATTAAACTTAAAACCGTTTTGATATTAAATGTTTTGTCTAGACCAGTGGTTGGCAAACTGAGACTCGTAAGCCACTCTTTGACCACTTGAGTTTTTAGCAAAGGCCCGCTTAGGAGTACCCTAATTAAGTTAATAACGATGTAACTACCTATATAGTTTAAGTTTAAAAAATTTGGCTCTCCAAAGAAATTTCATTCATTGTACTGTTGATATTTGGCTCTGTTGACTGATGAGTTTGCCGACCACTGGTCTAGACCATAGGTTCTTGGTTCTTATTTAATTCTCTATAGGCCAACAAGATATTGTACCCTCATAGTGCCATCCGGAGGCAGAAAATACACCACATATAATATATATATATATATATATATATATATATATATATATATATATATATATATATATATATATAGACAAATGCAGACAAATGCAGACAAATGCATAAAAACCATTTATATGATTCAAATTAGTAATTTTTGTGGGGAGACATAAGATTTTTTATTTGCTTCTGATGACTTTTAAGAAGGCTAAAAAGATGAGAGAAGTTCCCAAATGCCAAGCAGGAAGTTCTGATGAGACTTTCAATGAAAGAGTTAAGAGCTGTGAATGAGCTGAGGAAACAGTCTAGGATCTAATCTAATAAGCCACAAGAGAGAGCCTAGGCAGGGGCTTTGGCTCACTGAAAAGTTAGAAACCCCAGTGACCTAAAATGTAACAGGACAAGAATGGGGTTGTTAGAAATATTAGGAGAGAAAAGGGGTCCATTCAAAAGTCAGGGGCGATCAGGTCCTGATTCACACTGGACATTGTTGCCCAGGTGTTGCCTGGGACGGTCTTGTGAGGGGTTGAGTCTTCTTCCAAAGGGCAGGTTTACCTTTCATCTTAGAACTAAAGGCCCAGTGCACGGATTCATGCACATTGAAAGGAAATTATAAGAAATATTTTCATATTGCTATTCGCCCTTTCTCTATAATAGAAGTGTCAGTCAAATTCATGATCAACAATGACAGATCAAAACACAAGCATACAATTGGCACCAGTGAGAGCTTTATATTATATGTACCATGCATGTGCAAGTCAATGTCTTTTTTAATAGATATAGAATAAACTTGCTTAATTAGACCTGCTTTCTGGTGTAGTTAAACTTTCTTCCAGCCCAGTGAAACACCTCAACTTCTCTTTCAGGTAATTGTCAGCAACAAGGCAATAAATAGCAATATGAAGCAGGTTATTCTTGTAGATCACATAAGGAAAATAAAGGGTAAAATATTTAACTGCAGCAGTGTTTGACTATATTCTGTGCAGTGAGAAAACCTGAAGTCATTTTCTTTTTTTTTTTTTTTTTTTTTTTTTTTTTGAAGTTCAAGAAAAGTTTTATTTAAAGTTATGCTAGGAAAGAGCACTCTGACACAGGGAGACTACATTTAATTCCTACGAGAATTTTTATACATGTTAAAATTTTTTTAAATTATTACAAAAATTTAGTAGCATGTAAATATACCCCCCCCCCCCAAATGGTTGCTAGAATCCTCATTACATACTGGGTCTGCATTAACAGGAAAAGTTATTATAGGAATTTATCTATGTGGAAAGTAAATAGCCTTTTAATATTTTCCATTGCCTTTTTTTTTCCTTTTTTTCCCTTTTATAGAAAAAATATATTATTTTTGGGAACTTGACTATGACAAATAGCAGAGAAAGAGGAAGAAAGCATTTGTGAACTGTGTAAATTTACATTAAGTAATGGCAACTGAAACTAGAGGACATGATGGCTACAAGATGAATCTACAGGAAGCCCAGAAATTCGTGTTCCCTTAATATTCTGGCAAAACATTAAATCTCAATTGAAGTTATAATTAGTAATTAATCCATGTAGGTGACTAGATACAACACAAAAGAGGGAGGATTTAAAAGCTTCATTAATTTGTTTCACACTAAAGTTCACAATTAGTTAAAAAAAAAAAAAATAGGAAGTAATCAACTGCATGCACCAAAAACCCCAAGAAAGAAATCTTAGGTATTCAGTTATTTGTTTGTTTTTTCACAGGCATTGCTAGTTCAAAAACCAAAAACTCAGGGAATACTGGCACTTAGAGAAAAAAAAGTTTCCACTGTCATTTTAAAATAAGCATTCAAGATAAAAGCTAATAGTTTGGATGGAGCAGAAAAAAACAGGTAATGCTAAAGTAAAACAAATTCTAATAATTTAGTGTAATGTACAAAAATTATCACTTAAGTATACCTTAAGAAAAAAGTACAAATTGTATTTACATAATTACACACTTTGTCTTTGACTTCTTTTTCTTCTTTTTACCATCTTTGCTGATCTTTTCTTTATGTTTTCGAATTTCTCGAACTAATGTATAGAAGGCATCATCAACGCCCTGTCTTGTCTTTGCTGATGTTTCAATAAAAGGAATTCCGTAACTTCTTGCTAAGTCCTGAGCCTGTTTTGTATCTACTGTTCTAGAAGGCAAATCACATTTATTTCCTACGAGGACCATAGGTACATCTTCAGAGTCTTTAACTCTTTTTATTTGTTCTCTATAATGGTGAATATCTTCAAATGATTTAGTATTATTTATGGCAAATACACAAAGAAAGCCCTCCCCAGTCCTCATGTATTGGTCCCTCATTGCACTGTACTCCTCTTGACCTGCAGTGTCGAGAATATCCAAGAGACAGGTTTCTCCATCAATTACTACTTGTTTCCTGTAGGAATCCTCTATTGTAGGATCATATTCATCCACAAAGTGATTCTGAATTAGCTGTATCGTCAAGGCACTCTTGCCTACGCCACCAGCTCCAACTACCACAAGTTTATATTCAGTCATTTTCAGCAGGCCTCTCTCCCGCACCCGGGAGCCGCCGCGCCTCTGGCCCCCGCCGCCGCCTTCAGAGCCCGCACCGTGCTCGCGCCCAGTCGGAAATGGCGGGGGCCCGGAGTCCAGGCCGAGCAGCCGCCGCCGCCGCCGCCACCGCGCCGCTCTGCCTCCGCCGCCGCCGCCGCCGCCGCTGCCGGAGCCGCCGCCTACTGAAGTCATTTTCAAGGTCCACTATTTCTTACTTCTTTTTAGTCCAGTCAAGTTTGTAAACTTTCTAAATCTCTGTTTTCTGGGTAATGAAAAGAAAATAGGATTCTACTGAGTCTCCTATCTACCTATTCCAGGACTTCTGTGAGGATCAAATGATATGAGGCATGGAAAAACACTTCCCAAACATTTGGTTAAAGTGAGAAACATTAGTGCACCTGGCTACAAAGCAAGTCATATTCCGAGGCTGAGGAAATCCTGAGGAGGCTAGTCTCTAGGGAGAAGAAGATGGGCATTGTTACATTATGTCATTACCCGGTGCCCACAGCGACTGTTTCCAGGCTGGTCTGGTCTGGGCTGTGGGCTGCATTTTGTGCCATGACGGTGTCCGCTGCGATTTGGTGGAGTGTTGCTCTGGGGTGGTGGTGGGACTTGTGTCCCACTTGGGGGAAGCCAAGTGTTGCTTTGTGGGTGCCAGTTCCCTGCTGCTCTTTCTCTGTAAATGGTCAGTGTGCATCATGGCAGCTCCTGTGTTGAGCATCTGCCCCTGGTGGTCAGTGCACATCGTAGCAACTGGTCAGATGATGGGAGGGACACTTAGTGTATTAGCCATACACACACACACACACACACACACACTAGAGGCCCAGTGCACAAAATTCGTGCATGGGTGGGGTGTGTTCCTCAGCCCAGCCTGCACCCTCTCCAATCTGGGTCATCCCTCTCACAATCCAGGACTGTTGCCTCCCAACTGCTCACTTGCCTGACTTCCTGATTGCCTTTAACAGCTTCTGCCTGCCAGCCTGATTACCCCCTAACCACTCCCCTGCCTAACTGCTCCTCTGTCAGTCTGATTTTTCCCTATCTTCCTTCCCCTGCAGGTCCAGTTGCCCCAACTTTCCTCCTATGAAGGCCTGGTGACCCCTAACTGCCCTCCCCTGCAGGCTTTTATCACTCCCAACTCTCCTCCCTTGCAGACCTGGTCCCTCCCAACTGGCCTCCCCTGCTGGCCTGATCACCCAGGGCCTCCCTTGCAGGCCCAGTCCCTCTCAGCTGCTTTCCCCTGCTGGCAATCTTGTGTCCACATGGTGACAGCCATCTTGTATGTTGGAGTGATGGTCAATTTACATATTATTATTTTATTAGATAGGATAGAGGCCTGGTGCACGGGTAGGGTCTAGCTAGTTTGCCCTGAAGGGTATACCAAATTAGGATGGGGGTTCCCTTGGGGCATGGGGAAGCCTGGATGAGGGGCCCGTTTTGGTTTGCAGGCCAGTCATGCCCCTTGGCAACCCAAGCAGAGGCCCTGGTATCTGGCATTTATCTTCTATAATTGAAACTTTGTAGCCTGGAGCAGAGCCAAGCCTCCTGCTGGCTCTGTGGCCACAGCCATTTTTGGTGGGTTTTATTTATTTTCTATAATTGAAACTTTGTAGCCTTGAGGGGAGGCCATGGCAGACCAGGGCTTTGGAAGCTTGGCTTCCTCCATCACTGGGGGAAACTTAAGCCTCCTGCTCTCTCCAGATCTGTGGCTGCTGCCATTTTTGTTGGGATTTATTTATCTTCTGTAATTAAAAATTTGTAGCCTTGAGTGGAGGCCTGGGCCAGCCAAGGTGTGCAGAAAGCTTGGCTTCCTCTATTCCCAGGAAATCCAAGCCTTCTGCTCACTTTGTAGCTGCAGCCATCTTGGTTGGGTTAATTTGCATACTGGCTCCTGATTGACTGGTGGACGTGGCTTATGGTTGTTAATTTGCACATTACTCTTTTATTATCGATAGATAAGACTAGAGACCAGGTACACAAAATTTGGTCATAGTGGAGGGGTCCCCTCAGCCCAGCCTGCACCTTCTCTAATTTAGGACTCCTTGGGGGATGTCTGACTATCTAAACTGGCAGTCAGTCATCCCTCTCACAATTCTGGTCCACTGGCTTCTAATTGCTCACCTGCCTGCCTACCTGGTTGCCCCTAACTGCCTCCCCCACCAGCCTGATCACCCCTAACTACTCCCCTACCCACCTGGTTGCCCTTAACTGCTCCCTGCTACTGCCCAGATTGCAGCCAATTTCCCCCTCCCTGCTGACCTGGTTTCTCCTAACTGCGCTGCCCCTTCTCCCCCTCCCCCCCACCCCGCTGACCTGGTCGCCCCTAACTGCCCCCCTTCCACCAGCATGGTTGCCTTTTACTGCCCTTCTGCTGGCCTGGTTGCCTCCAATTCTCTCTCCTCTCCCCCCTGCCGGCCTGGTCACTCCATGCAGCCTGCTTGTTCAGTGGTTTGGTCATCCCACACTAACCCTCCTGCAGGCCTGGTCATAGGCAGCCATCTTGTGAGGGCATGAGGGTCAATTTGTATATTACATCTTTATTATATAGGAGGATTGTTGCATTTTGAGTAAGGACTTACTCCACAACTGGAAAGGAAGATTTCTCCCACACTGACAAAGAGCAAGAGAAAGTGTAATGAAAGCAACTTTGGATCCACTAGGGAGAAATTAGGTAGAGAAAGGGGACTGAAGCCTGACTGGTTTTTCTACAAACTTAAAAACCTTTCCTTACAAGGGGAGAGGCTGTATCCTCCCTGTAACTTCTGAAAAGCAGGACAAATGAGATTCTCCAGGCTACAGATGAAGGACTAGAGCAGTGGGTCTTAATGTGATGTACATGCCACAGGGGGCCAGTTTGATTTTTAAAGGGGGGCAATTTGAGATTGAGTTATTGACAGTGAATTTTTTTTTTTTGCATTTCTTATGTTCTCGGGGCAGTACATAAATATATGTTGTGCATATATTTGTGTAGTTCTCTGTGATATATTTTGAAACTTTATTTGCTATTTTTCCATATCATTATTTTTAAACAATTTATTAGCATTTCTTTCTCCATATGTCAGCTGTCCTTTTGTTCTTTTATTTTTCTCTTTCATGAATGCCATAGTCTTTGGAAGCTTGTTTAGACCAAGTTAATGGCTGTTTAAGCTTCCTCCATGTGAATAGGAGTTCACTTTTTGAATAAGAATTACATAACATGGCGGGGAGGGGACATCAGGAATTTAGAGATGCTTAGGTGGGACATGGCCAAAAAGAGGTAGGAAACCACTGGGCTGGAGTGGAAGGGTAGCATTGAGGATGCCTATAAGAGGCTTTGGTGAGAAAGTAAGCCACCCCGTGTCTAAGAAAATTTAATTGTCTTGCCTGTCACTTCGGGGGCCCAGCCTTGGCTCCAGCCATTCAGTGGTGATGTTCTTAGTGGGGACCAATTGGGATGTGGGGCCCCCTCAGCTCAAAGCCATCATGTGGGTAGGTTCTGGTCCTGGGGACCTTCCAGCCCCCGGGACAGTTCCTCTTCCAGTGGCCAAATTTGCGACAGAGAGGACATGACTGACCCCTGAGGTGACATATTTGAGCCTTTTGTTTCTATGGGATGTCTTTCTTGCTCTTCCTCTACCTTGTCTTGGTTGTTACTTCTACCAGTTGCCCAGTGTGGGGTCTGGGGTCCTAAGACAAGATTTTGGTAACTTTTTCCTAATATCTGAGGCTGTCTATTGGATAAAATATATCTCCAGAGTGCAGAAGGCTCTCAGCTAATGTGAAGAGCAAGTTGGGTGCAGGTTCTGAGGTATTATATACCCTCCTGACTATAAGCATCAAATTCTTCTGCTGGCCAAGACCGGTTTGGCTCAATGGATAGAGCGTTGGCTTGGGGATTGAAGGGTCTCGGGTTCGTTTCCGGTCAAGGGCATGTACCTTGGTTGTGGGCATATCCCCAGTATGGGGTGTGCAAGAGGCAGCTGATCGATGACTCTCTCTCATCGATATTTCTAACTCTCTATCTCTCTCCCTTCCTCTCTGTACAAAATCAATAAAATATATTTTAAAAAAATTCTTCTGCTGACTATTCTGGTACAGAATATTCCCTCATCCCTGCACCCCCTCCCGTGTGTGTGTGTGTGTGTGTGTGTGTGTGTGTGTGTGTGTTTTACTTTATTGTGATCTTCCCAGAAATCATGAGACTCACCTGGCAACTTTATCTCGCCAAGCCTTGAGACTGATCCTTGGCTGGGGAAGATACTGGTGTGTTGGTTACAAACTCGCTGCAAATTGCTTACACTATTTGGCCTTGTTCTCACTTTCCTATCTCAGTTTCCCTATTCTTCCTGCCCTAAAATCCTGCACCACCACCACTGTTTTTACTCTGATAAGCTTGCTCACGTTCGTATGGAGCCGCCTAGGAAAACATTCCCAATCTACACTGAGTGGCCAGATTATTATGATCTCTGAGTGCAGAGATCATAATTATCTGGCCACGCAATGTATATATTTATAATTTATAAAAGCCTAAGCAACCAAATGACCGGTCGACTGGTCGTTATGACATGCGCTGACCAGCAGGGGGAAGATGCTCAACGCAGGAGCTACCCCAGCCAACCTCCTGTGGCCTGCCAACCTTCCACGGTCCCTCCCGTGGCCTCCCTCCCTTGGTCCCTCCCCCTGGCTGGCGGCCCAGATCAGCCCCACTTGACAGCCAGGCCGAGGGACCCCACCAATGCACACATTTATGCACCAGGCCTCTATTCCTGAAATAAGAACCCAGATCAAAAACTCCTGTCTTCTGACTGGCTTTTCCATTCAGTGACTGGGGGGCAAGAGCAGAGAAGGACAGAGGGAATCACAGCATACATATTCCACTGCCTTCTCACAATCCACCCGGGGATGGAGTCAGCAGGTTTTTTTTTTTTATTTCCTTTCTGTCTAGAAGAGATTTATCCTGTGTCTGTCCACATTTTTTCTTGAAGTGATTTCCCCCCTCCACACTTTCTTTTGTTTCACTTCTGTAGTATCTGAGCCTTGGGCAGGCTGCCCCAGACAATGGCACATTGATTATTGTGAACTACAATCACAGGAGCAGCCAGAGCAGGAAGAGCTCTGTGACTCTCTTCTGTTCCCCTAAAAGCGGGAAATAAATCTCCATGTGAAGTGCCCTCTCCACCCCAGAAGGACTGAGAGACAGCCTTATCACA